TATATATATACACATACATAGACATATATATATATATAGATATATAGATATGAATATATATATATATAGATACAGATGTTCACACATGTTTGTTTGTCAACCTGCTCGTCCGTGTCCCTGTCTGTGCCATAAATGAAAAGCATAATCAACTAAATCAATATGAATGCAAGTGTATACCTTATATATATATATATACATACATACATACATACATACATACATACATACATACATACATACATATGTATGTATATATACACAATGTGTTTAATTTATTTCTATTTGCTTTTACATATGTATATATATATATGTTTTGTAATTATCTATGTCTAGTTTACTTAGATTTCCCGTAGCATTCATATCTGTTCTTGTTTCTATTCTGTCTGCATCTACATCTGTTTCTTTGTTCATTTCAAAAACGAACAGCCTTTGGGCTTCCTTTGCTTTTCTGAGGCCGCCCCCAGGGGGCGAGGGTGCGAGTGCCGAGGCCCCGAGAGCAGCGGTGAGGAAGTCACGGCTCTATCGGGGCGGGGAGTTCTGTACTGATTCTATAGGGTCTGGGGTGTGGTTATCTTGGTTCTAGGGTTGGGTGAATTCTGAGTTTAGGGCTGAGTTAGGGTTTGGGGTTTTGAGTTTGGGGATTTCGGGTTTCGATTTTGGGGGATGTGGAGACGTGGGTTTGGGGTTTTGGAGCTGTGAATGTTGGGCTTTATTGGGGCCTTTGCAAGCTTCTTCCCCAAAGCCCAACCATGAGGGTTCCATGTAGAGGGTTGGGGAGTTTGGCTGACATGTGGCTTGCAGAGATGTAAGGTTTGTTGTTTGCGCGTTTTGTGTGTTGTGTGTTGTGTGCGTGTGTCTTTTGCGGTTAGGTAGGGTTTTAGGCATGCAGGGGCTTGGGCCGTTGGACTTTGCGTATTTGGGGTTTAGAGCATGGGGTTCGGCATGTTTGGGTCAAGGGGATTTGGAGTTCACTGTTTCAATCTTCGGAGTGTGGGAGATCTGTTGTGCGGTGGGAAGGCTGATGTGCAATTTACAGGTCAGTTAGAGTTCCTGCTGAGCCACCTGCACGCGAGCTGTTCCTGGTCCTGACCTACGACTTCACGACGAAGAATTTCAGATTACAAGGTTCATCAACAAACCCCCCATGCCCCTGAACTGCCAACTCGAAGCTTGAGAATTCGAGGCTCACTCCTGACCACACCTGGCTCTTGCGATGTCTCACATCGGACCCCAACGAAAGTCCTTCGAAAAAACCTGCCCTGTGGTGCAGGACGTGAACTCGACGGAGACCCAGCGACATCCTCAGATGAAGTTGCCAGTTCCCGCTTAGTTCTGATGGATGAACAGCCTCGGCCCTTGGAATCCGACCTTGTGCTCCCATACCTTTTTGATCTGCAGCTACAGATGTGAATGATGTGAATGTGCACTTGGAACCCCGATCACTAGGCTTTCGAGCCCAACAACGCAGCTTCGTTTCACATGCTTACCATGCGAGAAACGCCTTTGCGCTCCGCGCGCTTCAGGGCACGCATTGCCATTGTTGGCGCTGGCTCCTGGGCACAGGCAGGACAAGCATGCACATGTACTATACCAGCTTCAGGAACACGCAATGCAGTCTGTCAGTTTCGATGTGAGGTTCGTAAACTCGCAGAACACGTCAGCTATGCTTCACGATGCACGGTGCTTAGATTTCAATCTCAAGTCGCATGCCACATCTAAACATCTTGTTGTGTGTGGCAGGGATGGCACCTCCCGCACCTGCGACGCATCTTGTCGGGATCAGTGCTTCCTTCCATAGCTTTCCACGACACTGTTCCGAATTCCTCCCTGAAGCGCCCTCCGCGCCCCACCGGAATGGTGCAGCATCCGAGGCAATCCGGCTGCGCAGCTGGTGGCCATCGTTGACCCTGCCGAAAGGACCTGGAGCAAATACAACTTAGACATGATGCCCACACCCGAGCTGGCAGCACTCTATGGAGAGGCCCGTCTGCAACGAGAGCGTTGTGAAAAAAGGCGACCTGTCAGAGCAACCCTAGCTCCACTTAGTTTTGAGGCTCAGTGCTAAGAGTACTCGCAGATTTTGCTTGATTTGTGTGCAGATAGGCTGAACCAATGCGTGCGTGTGTGTGTGTATATTAAATCTATAGTGGCGGTCGAATTTGCTGAGGTACCTTTGTTCAAAGGCTTTGCCGAGTTTCTGCAGTCGGACATCGCCAAGACGACCGATGGTGTCATCATATCCTCCACGCACTCGACCCATTGTGAACTAGGCAGGGGTCCTGCTTGGCCAAGCCAGTGCAATTTGGGGTGTGCGCTAGCCGGCCCTGTGTGAATTGGGCGGACAGTGCTTGGCAACGGGAACCGGATACCATCGGAATTCGGAAGGGTGCAGCAGCCTGCATAGTCAACCTAATTCTGCCGTCCATGCTAGACAAGCTGTTGGCATCACGAAGCAGGACTGCAGGCGGCAGCATCCGGCTTCCACATCCTCGTGGAGCCGCCTGGACTCAGATATGGACATGTTCAGTGCAGTCAGAGAATCGTCATCAAGCGGCAGTTTCAACAGCTTTCCTGCCGCCATCCATGGAGGCAAGAATAAGTTGGTGCCAGCCTGTGACAGGAAGCCGATGACGGCCAATGCTGCGGAGGCTGCGGAACTCGCGGCCGCTGCCGAACGACTGACACCTGCATTGAAGCGTCGAGAGTGGGTCGGTGTACAGCGATTTAGAGGGTAGGTGGACAGTGGAATTTAGTGCCATGAGCGTGTGCACGGCTGCTGTCGGACTCCGAACTTACTCGGTTTCCTGCTGCAAGTAAGGTTCCTGTACAGCAACATGACACCCGGAAATTGGATCTGCATAATGTCGTTCGGTCGTACTGAGCACAATCCGACGAAAGAATGTCATGCAAGCACCCCATGAAACTCGGTTCACGGAAGCAACCCATTCCAACTCTGTGTTGCCCGAGCCTTGCCGGGCTCAGGAAATCGTTGGGGAAAGCCTTCCTGGTGCGCCCCGGCAAGACCTGGAAGTTGCGAGGAAGCCACTCAGCCCCAAACCCGGGCCGCCGTAGAGCGTATAAGTCCCGATTCTGAAACCAATCTGGGATCAACTCTTATCCATCCAGCCGTGTAGAGGCCTACTCCCCGAAACTCCAACGCTTTGTAAATCTAACTAGACAGCCCGAAATTCCCCTTGTAAGCCAACTCCCATTGTACTCGATGTCCCTTAATTTGGCCCTACACCCTCAAAACTCCTCAACACAAGCAGAGGTCCCGAAACCCAAGCTGCAAAGCTGAGGAACCACTCTGCCAACTTCACACGCCACGCACTTCGCGCCCGTGAGTTGGTGCAGAGCCACCTTGGGGAGATCGAGCACGTGACCTGCCCCTGGGCGGCTTAGGTGTTCGTAGGATCCCGGACAGGGCTTTGGGTCAAGACGGGCTTGAGCTGTTCAGGACTCCTAATTACACCCTAGACAGCTACATAGTGTCCCAATCTTCAGCACAACCTTCAACCCAGACTGGAAGCGAGGCTACATGATCAGGGAGCGGGAGTTCTTCGAAGACCCGGAGAATCGGCTTTGGGTGGCCGCCGAGGGGTCCATGACTGGAAATGGGCCCCTGGGCTCGGTCTGCGGATTTGCAAAGTTAGGATGTGAGATCATATTATGCCATAACAGGGTTCCTCGGTTTGGGGAGTTCGAGCTGCCAGATTTGGAGTGATGTTGAAAACGTTCACAGCTCGGGGGGTCAAGGTTCTTTCTTGGTAAAGCAGCAAACTGCTAGAATGACAGCAGCCTATAGCACCTGGAGCATCTCGATGGACAGCCCAGCCCGCAAACAGGGTATGATCTCGGCTGATCTCAGGTTTGCTTGGGGGCAGAGCTGCCACACCCTGGCCTGGGCCCCTCCGCCAAAAAGCTGACACCGGGGTGTCGGGGAGGCTGAGGCGTAACGAGGTCCAGGCAGGTAGAGGGAGGGGCCTTTTTCAGAAGAGGTATGGTTTGCACGCCATTAGCCAACTCGTTAGTCATAGTATGGAGCTGGTCTCTGCTTTCAGAACTACAAACTTCGAAGACCGAGGTCTACAGGGTCACCGGGCTAGAGCCCGAAAGCGTCTTCTGCAAGATGACCTACTCCAAGAGCACGGGCGCGGACATCTTCACATCGGCGCTGATCCAGTGCACCAATGGAGCCACGAACCTTGGACCAAGTTAGCCGAAAACGATGCCTTCATGTGCGGACCATGTCTAAAAACATGCCTTTCAGGAGCATCGCAGTGGCTCAGTGTCAAGACACCCTCTCTGATGCAGTTGCCGCTTAGATTCGGATTCCGGGCTTTCTGGTTGCAGTGGGGCTCACGTACGATTTGCATGCAGTCCTGCCATCGAAGTATGGCGATGACTAGGCCTCTTGCTTCTTACTTCCGATCCGTCAGCTGCAAGCTGCAGATTTCGGAGTCGTGCAGAGAGCCTGTCCCGTCGCGATCGGCTCGGCACTCTGCGGGAGGAGGTAGGGATCACCTCAGAGGCCGCTTGCATGGGGGGACTTCTCGACTTTTCTCCGAAGCTTTCAAGAACGCTCCGAATCTGAGGATCTGCTGCCAGGGTCTGGCCGGTTTGCCTGGTGGTAATGCCGTCGGTTCTGCGTCCAAGAAAGGCCCAGTTCTGAGGTTTTTGGTGTGGGATTCAGTGGATGCTTCGAGGCAGGGTCTTTGTTAGGATTGGCGGATTGTGTGTCGATGATGCTCGAGTCCCATGTTGATGCTTACGTCATCACGTAATCTGCAACAGCTGACCTGCAGACTGCAGACTGATGAAGTGGCTGTCACGTAGCATATAGGGTTCCGAGTTCCTTACTACAGGTTTCAAGACATCACTGCCCGAGACGAGCAGAACCCATGAAACCCTGCAGTGAAGAGCAATGATGCCCACACCAAGGCTCGGTAGAGACAGCGCGGTATAAGACATGGCATGAGCCGTTGGTCAGGCAAACTGATCGAGAACAAGTGCCTTGTCTCAAGCAGCCGGCGCGAAGCCATGGAGCGATAAGTCTGCATGATCACCCAAAGAGGGTGTAGCTTGTGGGTAGCTGGCTCTTAATACCAACCCTCACCACCGGAAGATCAAGCAACCATGACCTCCTGCTTCTCGCCCGGTAGCCCTAAACCCTCAGCTGCCCTTCAACTCGCCAAACGCTCGCAACTCCCAGGATCTTTGGCTCAGAGGGCTGCCTGCTCTACAGCGGAGATGATGCTGATCCTGCCTCTGGCAAGCTGGAGCTGCTCCTGGACAATGGGTCGGTCCTAGTCGAGGACTTGGCGGTTCTCGGGTTCTGGGAGGGTCCGAGGATTGCGTTTGCCTGTTGACTAGGCTGCTCAGTAGCATGCTTTTTTACTTTTTAGGTTCCTGGGTTCCTAGTATATCACAACTAACCCAAAAAAGTATATACTTTTTTCCCGGGGGTCTACTGCAGAGCCTAGTTGAGATTTGGTAGTGATGGGGGATCTTGGGACTTCAGGGAGGCCGAAGTAAGGATGCTTTCATGCTCCTGTGTGCTTCTGCCGACGCATCGCCAAGCTCGTGCATGATAGGGCTCAGCCACAGGACGGCTTCTTCTTTGAGAACACCTCGCCACCGGCCTGCGATTCCATAGGCCATAGAAAGTTCGAAGCCTCAAGCCTTAAGTTCCAATATCAATTCTATCAGCATCGTACTGCATCGGGAGGCAAGGTTGATACAGCATGGTCTACAGCAAAACTTTCCTGAGAGAAGTCGATAGAGTTTGGGGGGTGGATGCCGTAGATGGCTTTGGGGAAGTCTTGGGTGTAGGACCGTTGCTGTGAGTTTTTTTGGTGGCTTTTGGCATAGTCACCACTCCCTCCAGCCTCTTCCTCTTCATCCCCCGAAGACCCCTAGATCACTTAACTGCCCGACCCATCCTCCATAGCAGGAACACATATCTGGTCGCCAGCCAAGGAAGGAGGGCCATGGACCCGAATCTCTGCAGTCCTTCCTGGCCGCTTGCAAAGGCGAAGACGTGATCAATGCCGCCGCAGCTCGGCTCGATGTCTCCGTGTTTTTGGGGGCCTGGTTTGGCGGGTTTCAAGAGTCCGTCAGTTGCAGGGCGATTGGGATTCTGAATGGAACGACAGATTCACACCGCATGTTTGCCTGTGCCATGTCTGCATCCCTGGAAGTATATCTCTTCACACGGGATGGGGCTCACAGCGCCGGGCTCCTGCACAGGATGCGACGATCGGCCGACTGGTGGTTGAAACCATTGACGCCATGTACAAGAGCGCCAAAGACGGCTCAGTGGTGAAGATTTAAAGTAAGCCGCTGAAAGCTGTCGAAAGTCGTGATGGGTTTAGGATCCCTAGAGGAGTGCGCTGGAGATGAGGGTTTCTTGGGCGCCAAAGAGGGCTCAATACAGATAGGCAGCAGGGGGTTCAAAAAGACTGCTGAGCGATGCCCCTGGCGTCAGGTATACACGAAGCTGAACAGGAAGTGCGTACCCGATGTCATTGAGCATTCGGCAGAAATTCGGCATGTTGATTAGCATCACACTGCCAAATTGAAGATGCGTGTTGGCCTCCACTTGTTGCAGCCCATACAGCTCAAAAAAGGAGGAGCATGATGAACTAACCAAGACAGGGAGAGAGAGAGAGAGAGAGAGAGCTTCTTGCACGGCTGGCTGGACGATGGACTTGAGAATGTTGTGTATAGGTATGTGTGTGTATGTATAAAACACAACATATAAAGCAGTTCGCTTCAAGTACCTTTGGCAGCCTGGGACACGCCTACAGTCGTTTCTCCTTGTCAGTCTCATGCTCTTGTGCACCGATGGGCCGTAGAATCCATGCTTGGTCGCCTCTGCTGTTTCGCAGGGGCTGGGCTCCCCAGCTGTTGCCAATTGCATGGACCAACGAACTGTAAGGAACAGCGAAGACAGCCGAAGCTTCATTGGAGTTGTGGGTGCGTAATCCGGCTTTGCAGCAGAAGCTAACTGGCGACGCTGGCCGAGCCTACAGCTGTCGCCAGGCGTTGCTGTGTCAGTTTCGTACCGTAAACTTGCATGCCCTGCAGACATGTGATTATGGTGACAGAAAATACTCGTAGATTTTTCTGAACCGTAGTAGTCTAGAAGCAGTAGTAATAGTAATTAGTAGTAGTAGTCGTCGTCGTCGTGGTAGTGGTAGTGACAGTAGTAGTTGTCGTCGTCGTCGTCGTAGTGGTAGTGGTAGTGGTAGCGGTAGCGGCAGTGGCAGTGGCAGTGGCGGCAGTAGTACAGTAGGAACGAAGGCCCTCCGATTGATGTTTACGGGATCCAACTAGTTCAGGGCTATGTAGTACGAGGAGAACTCACAGGCTCACAGGCAAGAGGGATTTGTCCCTGAGGTCAAAAACCTTATGCTAAACTCCAAAACTCGGTGCATCTCCGCAGTTTTACTGAGGCCACAGCTGCAATTGTTTCGATCTGGCAGCGCAAGACAGTGCCGAATGGCAAGGCGTCTGTTGAGCAGGAGGCCAGGAGACAGTTGTCTTGCTCCTTGCTTGGTCTCGACCACCGTGATTCGCAACATTGCCGCAACACCAATGGTTCAAGGCTCCGGTAGGAGTAGCAGAGTAACATTTAGGCAACACTGGACAAACAAATTCAGAGAATAGTTCCGCTGGACAAGACTGGCAACGCAACTTACTGGAGTCATGCAGAAACGAACTGCAGGAGTGGACAGACATGACGAGCAGACAATCATGAGCAGTGCTTTACGGTTAGCCGTTAGCTAGCCTGACACTTCCGTAGCTTTTGCGATGCGTGCTGTGCTGAAAACCTTTTGCGGCTGCTGCTATCCAAAGTACTCCTCGGTTGCCAAAGACGGCGAAGAGGAAGGTGGAGCTCCACACCCAACTCGTGTGTGGGCCTCAGAAGATACGTCAGGTGTGCTGACTCCACTCCCGCGAGGCGTATCATTTCTGCACGCTGTGCTCATCCCTGAACCAAACTGCCAGCGACCCTGCGACCCTTGAAACGCGTTGAGACTCGAAAGACGAGACTTGCAGGATTCAAGGATTGAGGGTGAAAATAAATGAAGTGTTCAGACTACAACACAGACCGAAGCAGAAGGGGAACAACTAAGCTAAACAAGCCCCCGTTGATCTATGAAGGCTCGTTGCTGCAGCGGCTTAGCAAGCTAGTGCATGATGATGTTTTTAGTACTCCACAGATCAAGTCTGCATCTGCTTGTACCTGCAATTCACACTCACAACACAAGTGCTCATCGAACTATGAGACGACGCCCGACTTTCGAAGCTTGCATCTCAGACTCCAAAGAAGTGCTTCGTTTTGCAAGCTATGGAACTGCACGCTAGCAAGCTAGTAGAGGTATTTCCCGAAACCCCCAACCACGGTCGCAACACGGAAGTGTTGTGTCTGACCGCTACTCTTGTAGGAAAGACCAACTAGCACCAATTCAGACGACCAGGTCGGACAGTCCGATGGGTCGGACGAGTCGGAGTTCGATCTCGAGAATCCGCCTTTGGCTCCGCCAGCAGCCAGGGGTCCTATCTACAGGCCCTTTTGAACAGGAAGCCTCAATTAATGTCTGCAAATGCGCAGGTTGCCATTTTAATGGCTTATGCACCTGAGCTAGAGGGAGAGGTATAGGATGCCTTGGGGTATACCTACGGAAAGTTTGCGGAAGCTTTCGGTCTGAGCCGCTCTGCCAGGTGCGAGGTGGTGCTCCCAGAAACCGTCCTCCAAGAGGGATCCTCGGTGCATGGCTTCCACCTGGCACCCTGGGAGAAGCACGAGGAGTACTGGGAACAGCTGAATCAGGAGAGCCCTGCTCAGGGCAGCCCTGTTAGTCTAAGCCGCATGCAGAAAGCTGCCATGAGCGAGTGGTGCTGCATGGCCGAGTGGCTACGCCGCCAAGGCCACCGGGACCTCGAGCCGAAGATTTTTGATGGCGTACCGGATTCCAGCAAAATCCGACAGGGCCGAGTCACAGATTGCTCTCTGATGTCGGTGCTGTCGGTGCTCGCTGACTACGAGAGAACTTTCGGAGATCCCGTTCTTCGGAACATCCTTCACCCGGCTTTGGTTCCGAATAGTGCACCTCCTGCAGCGCAGCACTATGCATGCCGCCTTTTCGTCAATGGCATGCCGAGATGCGTGGTCGTAGATGACACCGTCCCTGTAGCAACTAATGGTCGGCTGCTCTGTGCTCACTCAGCAGTCCCTCACGAGCTCTGGGTCTTACTTATCGAGAAAGCCGTGGCCACGATTATGGGCGGCTCTTACGCCATGAGGGGCTCGAATCCCTGCACCGATGCGTTTCACATCACCGGCTGGATACCGGAGACTTGGAGGCTTCAGTCGGAAGTGTTCCATTCTTTCTTAACCCTAGGCTTCCAAGGACCTTATAGTTAGGGCCCCAGACCCTTTAAGGACCCAATAATAAGGTCCCTGGAAGCCTAGGGTAACAGAACCATTATGGCCTAAGATCCGAACCGGAGTGACCTTCTGAAGCCGACAGCGGGCGTTTTTTTTTAGGGGTTCAGGGTTTAGGGTTCAGGGTTTAGGGTTTAGGGCTTTAAACGCAGCCAAGGAGACGTTCCCTTTGAAGCCAGACTGTGAAGGTGCCCCATCGACGGAAAGTGAGTTTATGGAGATGTTCGACACGGCACAGAAGGGTTTTACAAATGGGCCCCTTGGGCGCAAGCTTCGGAAGGGCTTCTACAGCCACTTTTCGCTGCGGTAATAGATGGTGATAGTTGTGATGTAGAACAGCACTACTGGTAGATCACCTCACGTCACCAGAAGAGTTCTCCTGAAAGGCAGTGTGTGGTCTGCGTGGGAACCACAGAGATAGCGGATGCGACCTCCAATGAGCTAGCGGTGCGCTCTGGTCATGTCGAAGGCGTCAGTGTCTCTACCGGCCTCGTGGCTGGCCATGCCTACCCGGCTCCATGCCGAAATTTGGGACCTATGGCTGACGACAGCCCAAGTAAGCCATACTATTTTTAATCATGTCATTTCAAGACTGATTGCTATACTGTCCGAATTACTTTTTCAGTTTCTCGCTTCCCTTGCAGAAAAGAGGTTCTCCGCTGCTGCACGGTACAGGGACGCCGGCTCCTGTTCCTGAAGAACCCCTGGGGCCACACGCGATGGAAGGGCAAATTCTCTCCTGGAGATGTCCAGTGGCAAGCAAACCCGGGTCTTGCCGAAGCTCTGAACTACGACAACACGGCGGCAGCTTCGCGGGACACCCGGCTGAGATCGGTAAGCCTTAAGCCGGCAAGCTACTGTGTCCAAAGCGTCAAGAGCCGAACGCCCAGAGATCCGAGTCGGAAGTTTTCCGAAGCACCCAGGATGATGGATCCTTCTGGATTTCTTGGGAAGAGGTTTTACGATTCTTCAGCCACTTCTACATCGCTTGGTCGCCTGCAGCCCTGAGCCTTCACTCGTTTGCCGTCCATGGTTGCTGGAATCCTTGGCCTCACTTCGTGCACAGCACCCTGACGGATGACACAGAGCCTGGGGCTTGTGAAGAAGGGCGGAGTTGAGATGTCTTTGTTTATGGGGTTCATGGCTGCGTGGGTTTTACATCCAAGTACTTTTCGTATAAGCCCGAAGCCGGCGCAACTTTCTTCAGCTCAACACAAACCTCAAAGCACTGCATCCGAACTTCCAGCACCCCGGGCCCTCAAAGCTTAAGCCCACCGACCCTACCTTGATAAAGCCCTGCCTTCCAAGAGCCAGGATCTTCTGGCCTTCAACCCACAGCTCCTTGTGCTCTTCTTTGCTGGGTGGAGGGCTTTCGCTTTCTTCTTTGCTCATTTCGCGCAGAGGGGGTTTTAGAAAGCCTTAGGACATAAAGCCGAGGTGTTTCAGCGTTGAGTGATGCAGATCATCTTGGGAACCTTGCTCTGAGGGTGAGTCCTCTAAGCCTGCAGCGGCGCAGCAGCTTACAAGCACAGCTGAAGTAACTTCAGAAGAGAGCAAGCCCGGTATGCCTTTTAGGTTCCGGGTGCGGCTCAAACGAGCGCCTCCGGTGAACGAGGAGGTGGGCCTTTGGGCTGTGCTTAGCCGGCACATTCGGTCTCAGGCGCGCCGGATTTGGTTTCTTGCGGGCTTAGCAGTTTGTTCAGCAAGGCTGGTCTAGAGTTAGCGAGGGAAAGGCCACGGAAGTGGCCGACATTGAAATTAAATGCAGAAGCTCGACCCAGTGCCAGGCGGATTACAACTCGCACTTCGTGTCGGTCAGCATCTACCAGGGCGGCTCCAGGGTTTGCTGTCCAAACTCTGTCTTGGAGCAAGGCGTCTTCTCCAACGGCGAGTGTGCACTCGTCAAGCTTCGGAACGATGCGGCGAACTCCAACAGCGACTTCACCCTGGTTGTTTCGCAGCATGGGGCCAAGCGAGAGTTCAACTACACCCTTCAAGTCTACACACAAAGAGAGGCCACCGCAAAGCAACTTCAGCCCAGTGGGTGATTAGCATTGGCCTCCCGCTTTGAGAGCTTCGCAAAGGTATATGCCAGACAGACTCTAAGAAGCATCTTGCCCTGCGAGGTCATCATAGAAGAGCTGCCACCCCTGGTGCCCAGCAGCTACGCTTCCAGCGCAGTCCGCGGCGAGTGGACGCGCCGAACGGCCGGCGGTTGTAGCAACAGCGTGCCGAAGCTGCGCACATTCAGATAATACGTAGTCGCCAGCAGTTGCTGAATCATATGGTGCCTGTCGATGTGCAGCACAACTACCGCTTGAATGTAATGGTTGTGCTGTACCATGCACCCTCCGAACCCGAAGCTTGGACCCAGGTGTGGTCGTACTTTCAAAACCCGCAGTGGGCATTCGATGTGCCTGCTGGTGGCCTCGACGACCTCATACTCTTCCTAGAGAGCCCAGGTGTTTCCGTCAACGTGCGCGTGTTTACCGGAGCTGTCGCCACGCGAGTGCATTTTCAGGATAGACTTTCCGACCAAGTCGATTCTTCACCGTAATCTCCCACAACTAGGTCCTTGTTGGATGCAATGTTACATTTTTGTTACAATAACACCCAATAAGTGCCAATAAAGATTAAAAATGATCATGTTTAATATATCCCCAACAAGGAACCAGACGACATATCAGTAGTTCCTCCTCTGTACCAGAATGCCAGAGGCCAGACCCGAAGCTGTCCGAAGCGCAGCATCCAGCGGTGCGTACCGACGTGGCTGTTGCATTCTGCGGCTGCGCGAGCTCCCACCCGGCCCTCACGTCGCCGTGGTGTCTTCATTCCGCTCCGGTATCTGTGCACCCTACCGACGCTTGTCTTCTTGGTGCTGCTTGTGCAAGATCCTGCAGGTTCTACTAAAGTTACTAGTAATACCTTCCGTGCCCCTTGCCATTTCCAGCGGCCGTGTTCCTAGTCTGGCGCCTTTGTTCTAAACAGCATCCAAGGACTAGCATGGCACAGCTCAACTGCCATAGGACTTGCTCCTCAGCCGCACCCCTTCGTGGATGGGGCACTGGCACACCCGATGAAATCGCTGGTCCAGCAGATCCAGGCAGAAGTCGTGGTTGGACTTCCGGGGCTTGCGTCTTGTAGTCCATAAAAGCTGCAAAATTCAGCAATCGAAGCATGAAATAGAGGGCATGAGTTCGCAACCAGGCTTTGAAGATGTCGGGGTTGCAGCCGGAGCCCTCTCGAGTTAGTCAGCTCTCATTTAACCCTTCGCATGCTTTGAGGGTGTGGCGGGTTCCAAGGATGATGCTTGTCTCTGGTTCGGCGACTGTGACTGTAAACACTTCTCGGAACCGCTTAGGGATGGCATTACCTTGCACTTCGTTGGAATCCACCGAGGGCCCAAATTGCAACTTGCTTTAAGTAGTGAGCACGGGTGTTGGACTCTGCAACGACACTGTCAGTTCAATCCCAGATGGTATTGAGCCTACTGAAGCTTGGTGAACTCCAACAACTCAAACCCTCTATACCAGAAAAGTCTTTTCAGAGAATAGAATACCAGATTATGAAGCATAATGTGAAATACATGTAGTTTAAAATATTTGACACAATAGGTGGGCCGGAGCACGGAGATCCAGCTTCGGTTGGTGGACTTCAGCAAGGCATCAGGCCTTGGGCACATGAGCGCACGACTGCAGACCAACTCGGACGAAGGCCGGGCTATATCGGCCTCGGGTATACAGAGTCTAGTAGTTTGGGTTTAGGGTTGCTGTGCTGATGCTCAAAGATGAAAATTCTGGTGTGTAGTTAGTTCTTATGCTTTGGCTTCTCTGTGACGTATGACTTTTCATCTTTGGCCTTCAGTTTCGTCGGGCTGCAGAGACGGTCAGGGGCTGAGGTTGCGTGCCGAGAATTTTGAGGAAGTCTCGGTTGGTGTCCTTTTTTGGAACATTGGCGATGGATAGCGTGGTAGTCGCGTGTGGCAACAATGGCCCTGGCTCATTGCTCAGGCTTGAACCAATGCGGCACGATCCGAGCTTTTCTCGTTTAAGACGCCATCCCACCATCTCGCGCTGAACCCTTAAGCCAACTAAACCCCTTAATCCTTAAACCCCTAAAGCCCTTAACCCCTTAATCCCTACTCCTACACCCCTGAAAACCCTTAAAACAAGCCCTAAACTTACTTCTTCTACGGCCACACTTTAAACTTTTGCTGGGACTAGGGGGGGGGGGG